TGCCAGAACAGACTATGACAGCAGGCACAGAAGGCCTTTATCACAGATGGTATCCCTTGCACAGGCTGTGCTGATCAACTATCTGATCTGCTTCGGGCATTAGCAGGGATGATTTGCCATATCTGTGGAACTACAGTCATGGGCTGAAAAATGGCAAATTTTGAGCAACTGCTAACATTGAGTTACAGGTTAGCAAGTAGGAAAGGAAGAAGGTTAAAAAAACTCAAGTAAAACAAAATGTGTCTGGTACATAGAAATTGCAGAGAACCTCATTTAAAATTGTTTCAAATTTTTGAGATTTATAGTCACAGGAATGAAAATTGAGTGTTTTCAGACATTCTGCTTTTATCATGTCAAAATCTTATCAGAAAAATGTGGCATTCAGAGTAATACTCATCTGCCATTAACTTTCATGGCATGTCAGGAAGTGTTCCTGTGACAGAAATTCATTTTTCTGAGAAAATAAGACAGTATATTCCCTTGGCCTGTAACCAAGCACTGGGGAGAGCACTGTAACCAAGCACTGGGGGGAGGGTTGCCAGATTTAAAACTAGAGACTGCACGTGTACCTTTAATGGTTGTGTAGAACAAGGATTTGATAGGTGCTGTTATTTACACAACTAAGTAACAGGCAACAGCTCCTGAAATTCCCTATTCTGTGCAACCCCTTAATTGTAAAAGCTGGCTTGGAAAAGCAACCATGAAAGAACTAGACAAGATCCTCAAGTATAAAGACACATTTTAAAATACTGAAGTCAGAATTACCCAGGCATACTTCTATGTATGCATCATGATAGCTGGACAGCAAAAATGCCAACAAGCAGAGTATCAACTCATCTGAAATGTGACAATGATATAATAATAATATGGACTGCTAAAAAGACAAATGAATAGATCTTTGATTGCATAAACCTGAACTCTCACTAGATGTGAAGATGACTAATCTGAGACTGCTATACCTTAGACATATATTGAAAGACCATGACTCATTGGAGAAAGACAATAATGCAAGGTAAAGGGGAAGGCAATAGAAAGAGAGGGAGACCCCACTAAAGATGGGCTGGTTCAATTAAAGAAGTAAATGCCCTGAGTCTGGAATACCTAAGTAATACTAAGTAATAACATCCTAAAGGCACCAGATCCTGTCTGATCTTGGAAACTTAAAAATATCAACTTTGATTAGTACATGAATGGGAGACCACCAAAGGACAACAGGAGCTGTATTTCAGAGAAAGGAACTGGCAAAGCGACATATGAGTATTCTTCCTTAAGAAAACTATGAAATTAATGGAGTCAGCATAAGTCAACAGACAACTTCACACATACCATTAGAATACACACCTTCTATGGTTGGGCACAACAAACACTGGAAACAATAATGAACATGAAAATGAAAAGTTACACAGACTCAGAAGGACATGCACACATCCCTAAACACACAGCTATTAACCTCATGAATCTACCGCCAGAAGAGGCCAAGGTCGTACTTAACCCAGTAGCTCTACAATAGTATGGACCAGAACTAGATATGTCCCCAACATATATATGCCAAATTAGTCTACAAAAGATCTAATATTATTGTACCCATACCAGTGCCCATCCATATTTGTTTTCCTTGATTTCTTAAACCATAATAATCCCTGACATCTTGATAGACAGTTCCTTTTCCTTCTCTTTTCCCAGTCATACACACATATATGTTCTTACTTTTTGAAGGAGAACTTAGTTCAAAAAACTATACATTTAGTTTCAATGTGGGATCTTAACTATAAACATAGCAACCAATGGTTGACATAATACATCATAGTTAATAATCAAGACAATGTTAACCCTAATTAAATTCTATACTCTCTATCAAAGAAGTAAGAGTAGGTTGACACAACCTCAAACCACAGTTTCCCCCCGAAGTATCATATATACACCATTTTGGAACATACCTTATAATCCTGCTGCTCAACTCCATGTTGCTGGAATAGCAAATGAGAGAGAGAGATTCTGTCTTCTCTGCTCCCTTCTGAAGAATACTGAGTATTGCTTTGGTATATTTCAAGAGGAGCTATCAAAAATAAGACTAAATGGGTTTCTGTTTTATTTTCAAAACGTAAAACAAAAGAAACATGAGGTATTTTTTCCTTTTAATTTCTTTCAAGATTCACATCCTTTGATCTTTGCAGAATCTGTGACTATATTCCATCCATTTGCTTGGGGAAATTATTTTCCACAATGTAGAAGGTGGAGAAGAAAGTGGAGAAGAAAAACAACGAGGCAGTGTCTGTTAAAAAGATGCCAAGGTGAGAAACATGAGGAATTCTTGAAGGAGTACAAATGTGTCCCAAGAAAGGAGGCAGGAATTTTTTTTGTTTTACCATCTTTCTGGATTTTCCTTGCCTTTTTTCCCCAAATGGTTAAAAGTGAAGATGCCAAAAGTACAGAGGGGGGAGTCACAAAATCCAGTGTGCAAACTTTTCACAGTGCCAAAGTCACACTGGCAAGTGTTTCAGTTTCCTTTTGATCTGGAATAATCCATTCAATAGCTGTTTCAAAATCAATACCATAGCTGTACTTACAGCACTTTCTGTACAATTAGATTATCAAGTAGATATCATTGCTTTTTTCTTAATTTCAAAAGTCTTTTATCTATTAATATATAGAATATATAAATAAATACTTTAAAACACATTTTTAGGTAGGGTCCTGGTGTCCAACCCTTTTGAATTTTCATTTTTGATATTGGGCTAATATATATTAAAAGTTGAACAAATTAGCTCTTTTCTATTTATTATTTACCTTTTCTTTAAAAAAATGACACCCACATTTTGGGTTTGCAAAGAGAAGAAAGGAGGGAGAATTATGAAAACAAAGTAGCCAATTTTTTCCCAAAAAAGAAGTTTTTTTACATTATTAGATGGTTGTGCTTTCAGTGTACACACTCAAAGGTAAAAATAGGTCTAAATTTGAAAAAATGCAATAGCAACAATAAGAGTAAAAGTAGCAAAAGGGGCAGGAAGTCACTCTTAGAGCTTGTGTGTGATGAGCCATTTTAGCAGCTGCCCTTTTTCTTTGCAGGCGTGGAGCTGCTGCTCTGGTTTGAAACAGGCTCTTCTGAATCATCCTCATCAAAGCCATGAAAAGTTGAGGTGTCGCTTTCAGAGGTGGAACCGAACAAGTCCTCCGTAGTGTGAGTTGCCGCTGCTTCTTCTTTCCTGCTTTTTCTTCCCAAATGAGCTGACATGTATGATGAATATATCAGCACATGGGTTAAGCAATAGGCATCACAATTTTATTTCATCATCATCATCATCACCATCACCACTATTATTGTTATTAAACCATCCAGACTAAAAAGACAATCTCAGACTAGGTATATGTATAAATCTGAAGTGGGTCAAGTCAATAATACAGATCAGTGGAACAGGAAGGGGGGTGATAAGGGAAGTATGAACTGAACTGCAAGCGTTAAAAAATGACACCACCACAGATGCCCATAAACTAAGGCAGCAAAAGGGTTAATACTGTTTTCCTCTCTTTAAAACACACAAAAACCATTTTGTGATTGTTTTGAGCAGCTTTAAAAGATTTCATACTGTGTATAATAGTGAAAATCCATTAACAGTACATAGTACAATGTTTCGCCTTCATTTTGGCATCAAATGTCCTAAATTTGCTACTTGAGCATAATAACCCATTTTGTGTATTTTTTTTCAAAAAGAAAAAAAAACAACCCCAAATTTCTCCTCCTGATCTCTTTCAGCACCTGTTCACCTAAGTGGTGAGGTTCCTTTGCAAAACAAGATGAAGAAAAAACTTCCATACTAACAAACAAATAAGTGCACATTTTATTCTTCAATAAACTCTCTTTTTTAAAAAAAAACAAAAGTCACATTAATGTAATCACTTCAGGTAAATGCAAACATTTGAAAGCATTTCATTCAGTTAAAGGTAGAGAGACAAAGATAAAACATTCCAATGTTATATATAACTTCTGTCAGAGGTTTCAAGATATTATATAGTATTGGATTTATCCCCTGAAGAGTGACTCCCCTCACTGTTTGTTGCCAGTAATTCCAGTTAACATGGGTTCAAATAAGTAAAAGAATGACTACAGAGGAAATATGTTCTCATAGAATGAAATCAAATCATTTTGCAAAGAAGAAATATAAATATAACAAATTTATACTTAAATATGAAGATTTTATTGGATGCACACACAGAATAATCAAGATGTTGGCATTGCTTTTTCTGCCATATATGGGAAATTTCTTCTGTGTGCAAAATATCTAAGGTTTAAGTGAGAATCAAGATTGTTGTGATTGCATCCATAATGCTGCGTACAGCCTCAGAGATCGGTCTTATAACTATGGTTTTAAAAAATGAAATTAAATTGCAGTTGCTTTGCAAAAGATTCAATTTACTAGAATATGTTGTGAACATTGGCATAGGAGTTCTGCTTACACGAGAGTTGAGACCTTAGCTGTCTCTCTGTAGAGGGAAAGCCATGTCAAACTATTCCAGCAAAAACAATGATGAGCCTTTTTAAAAAGAATCAATTTATTGTGGCATATGTCTTTGTGGACTAGAACCTACTCCAACAGATAGATGAAGAGGTTTCCTCTGTTGCTGTTGTTGTGTGTATACACGCAATCAGATATGGGCAAGTGGGAAAGACTATAAATTAGATGTACACAATGGATATACCTATCATCCAAGTTGCACAAATTTCAGTAGAACTTTTGGAATTATATGAAGACTGAAACTCTTCCTCAGTACTATCCAGGTTCAAATCAAATACATCTACTTTTACATACCATTTTTATTTACTAGTTATATGTTTCAGTATTAGCCCATTATGTGCATCCAAATTATGTAGGAATGCATTTGTCTAACCAATCCTGACCACACAAAACAAAATGATCAAGCATATGCATATTCTTCATATGCATGGGAAGAAGGAGCCATGTATGTTCTTTACTCATAGAAAGTTGCAATATGGCATCACCTACCAGAGCGCCCACAATCTGAACATGAAACAAGTTCCTCTGGCCGTCCGCTCTTTTTGTTCATATTGGATCCACCAAGACAGAAGTCACAGTAGTTATTGGAAATGATGGCCCCATCTGGTCCTTTCTGGGCTGCTGGCAAATATATATATATACATATTTAAGGAAGAGATATACAGATTTACTTCTCAAGTATTGCACTTGCAAAAGAAGTGCCCAAGAATAAAAGGAAGTAAAGAGTGTTACTATTTTAAAAGTTAATTAAAAACACTTTTTTTATGTAAGAAGACACCTTTCCGGAAATCTCTAGTTCCTTCAATGCAATCTAATGGCCAAGTTCCAGTGGGGATTGTACTAGAGGACCTACAAATACTTAGATAAGCATTCCCTCTCAGAATTTCTAGATCCTCCAGTCCAACTCTATGGTCGGCTTCTGCCAGGGATTAATCATGGAGTCATGCTGGATCACAGAGAGATTCCTAGAATGAACATTCTAATCAAACCTACAAAAGTGAAGCCTGTCTATATGGAGGCCCAATTCTATAGCTCATCTTTCTCCCAAATGGCACTCAAAACAGCTTACAGTAGAAGTTTAAAACTGATGGTATGTACATAATGAGGAATCTTGGAGAAGGAACATAATTCATTGATGTTTGAAATTCACCTTATACACATAGCCTGAAGATAATTTTAGACAACACCTTTAGTAATTGTGTGCATGAAACAAAGTTTGTGTAAACCAAACCATTCTAAAGCAAAGAATGGCCACCCAGTTGAACAGTTTCAGATTTGGATATATTTTGGATTTCAGAACTCTAAGTAAGTGCAAGTTATATGCAAGTTTGTCTATCAAAATCATTTATTTGTTTTAACCCTCGGCATTCTTGGGTTATTTTAATCTAACATGGCCATTGTTTTTACAATGTTAAATATGTTGAATTTAATATTTTAATCTTATTATTTCTTTAATGAGGTTTAACTTTTGTGTTATCTATTGTTTCACCAATATTTTTGTTTGAGTTTAAATTACAAATCCTTAAACACATAAATATAGATTGCAACTCTTTAGAAGATATCAATACTTCAAATCAAGAACAGTAAAAACAACAAGATTCAACTTCAGAATGCCTGAACATTTATTCTTTGATGTTAAAGCATGCTGATTTCATTTATAATCATATTTCAGAGGTATTCATAAAAATGCCTTCTACACTTAAATGTACCTGTTTGTCCCATTGCAATTTCTTGCACGTACCTTAAGCTGTTTTTACAGATGAATGACACAGGACTCTTCTATATTCCCTCCTTCCATCAGACAACCTCACACACAGTTTCCAATCACACCGAATAATTATATGCAAGTTTGTCCTTTTTCATGAATGCTGAACATGTGTCCACCAATGGCCACATCAGCATTATGAGAAATAGTCTGTCCTCCATTGCTTTTTTGAATTTTCAGACAGGGCTTTATCCATACTGAGTTTTTTGCAATGAAGGTTCTTATAAGGAATTTCAGATTCTACATACTCAAAAGCATAAACGCCTACATCCTCTGTAGCATGGTTCCTCTGAATTAAAACAAGGCCTTCCAGGTGTTGTTAGCTTTTAACTTTCAGCTTTCCTCAGTACTGCCTGTACTATCTACACTGCTATATCATCCAGATTATCAAAGAAGATAGTCCACATTATCTGCTTTGAACTGGACTATATGAGTCTACACTACCATATAATCAAATTCAAAGAAGATCTGGATTTTATATCACGGTGTAGAAGGGACCTAAGACTGCCAAGAGCTGAAATCAACAATACCCGAAGGTCCACATGATTTCAACCTGAATTATACCTTTGCGTAAGCAGCTGTACAACAAATCATGCAGCCAGTTGCCCAAGCAGAGTTGTGCCATGACTCTGCAAAACCACTTGTACAATAAAAACTATACTAGATACTCCTCCCCAGGATTATGGAAAATCTACAAATCTGATGCAATGGAACATGCACTAAGACTAGGGCACAATTTGATACAAGCCAAAGCTATTAGGAATTATGTTTGCAATGGAAGGTGAGTCTGAAACCCACTCCTTTCCTACTTTTTCTGTTCTATTTCTTCCAACAGTAGCCCATATTGATAATGAAGATTGGGGTGCCTGTATGATGCAAAATGTTGCTCCAATATCATTTTGCACTTTTCTTACGCTCAATAGCCTGTTTCTTATACTACTAAACAAGTTCAGTGATTCATACACAGTTCCTGAAGAATCCCTCTTCTGCCAGCTGGAACTGCTCAATAAACAAGCAAGCTTTATCCTGGTTTTGTACTGGGGTCAGTTTGCCCTAATAGCTCACAAATATAAAGCAGAGCTTTCCCGCAGATCCTTCTTTCTGCCACCATATCTCCTTTTCCCTAGTACAAGTGCCAGCTTTGCAGCTAAATCCCTAGCTGAATATAAAATGCTCACACAAATGTAGCGACAATTGCTACTGGTTTAAACCGATATTATATTGAACTCTAAATGAAGTTTTGCAGTTCTACTCTGAAAAATGTTGCCCATTTGTCAATCAAGATCTGAAATGTTTTACTATTCATGGTAGGTGGAGATAGTACACTTTGGCTTGCAAATAAAAATGAAGATGGTAAAGCTCTTCAGGTATTCTCAAATGCTGTTAAACTATGAAGGATGATATTGTAATAGAATGGGGAGCATGAAGTCCCATTTACTTCCAAAATGATCCCGTATCTGTGGGACCAGTATCCGCAGTTTCATTTATTTATGAGGGACATAGAAAGAACTTCCTCGAAGACTGAGAAAATACAGTGGGGCGTCCCCTGGGCAAGATTTCTTGTAAATGACTAATCTTTCCAACCCAAAAGTATTGCTTTACAACATTCTGTGCAATGCTTTTGACACAAAATTAATAAAAAATATTTATGTATTTTATTACATAAATAAAGGATGTGGAACAATGGATCCACATTACAGAAAAGCAGACTCCACCTGAACATTAGGAAGAACTTCCTAATTGTGAGAGCTGTTCAGCGAATTCTCTGTCCCAGAATGTGGTGGGGGCTCCTTCTTTGGAGGCTTTTAACCATGGGCTGGATGACCATCTGTCAGGGTTGTTTTGAATGTGATTTTCCTACTTCTTGGAAGGGGGTTGGACTGGATGGCCCATGAGGTCTTTTCCAACTCAAGGATTCTATTATTGTATAAAAGCATTATCTTATACAGGCTCCCTAATAAATTATATCCCTAACTTATAGCAGTGGGACAAGAATGTGCAAAAAGGAATGTATATCAAACAATTCAGGCATTTTCTAAGTTATCCAGTGTTATTTGGCCAGAAGTCATTCATTTCAAAAGGTTTTTGCAATGTCCAGGATATAGGGATCATAAAGTATTAATTCAGTGCCCCCAGTGGCACAGTGGAGGCAGTACTGAAGACCAACAGGTCACAGGTTCAAATCTAGAGAGAGTGTGGATGAGCTCCCTCTGTGAGTTCCAGCTCCTCATGCAGGGACATGAGAGAAGCCTCCTACAAGAATAGTAAAACATTAAAAAAAACTGGGCATCCCATGGGCAATGTCCTTGCAGACAGCCAATTCTCTCACACCAGAAGCGACTTACAGTTTCTCAAGTTTCTCCTGACACAAAAAAAGATAAATTCAGTGCCTTTTACTATAAGGAAATAGGGCTTTTCATGCCAGCACTCTAGGCCAAAATGCAGGATTATTTTAGATTTTGAAATTTCGGATTAGAAATGCTCAACTGGCACCTTATTTTTTCTTCATGCCATCCAAAAAAAAAACATTCACATGCTTTAAACCTCAGTATTCTCGAGCCACATTTAAGTACATAGTGATTGTTTACTGTGTTTTGAATGCCTATTCAAGACTTTTCAATGTAATGTCTTGATTTAATTGTTTATTTAATGGGTTTTGACTTTTGTATTCTATTATTGTGTCATGTATATTTTTGTTTGAACTTAAATCTCAAGTCCAAACAGAGTAAGCAAGCAGCCCTGGCGTTTCGCGATGAAGAAAATGCAAAACAAGACTCCTTTGTTGGACGCCTGGGCCAAGAGCTTCCCTGTCCTCTCTACCATGAGCCCTCGTCGCTCCAGTTCAAATCTCTGCGCAGTCTTTGGCTTTGCCATTTCCACATCTTTCCGGCCTTCATCCCTCGGAGGGATGGCTGACATACAATCTGAACCTATAGGGTAAATGGCACTGAGCCGCTCTCGGCCTTTTCTATGGCTGACAGAGCTCATCTCTCCACAGGTCTGACACGTTTCCATGACAACCAGAATCCCAGGCTCCGGCTGCCTCTGGCCTTGCCACCTGTTATTACTCCATCTCTCAAGTGTAAAGAACTGATTTGCAGCCTCTCCTCTTTTTCCCCCCTCGCTCCGAAGCAAGTTTCCAAAGGGGTAGAGGGAATCAAGAAATGGAGATATTTTTTTTTAAAGAAATACACTCAATGAACAAATAGGACAGGAAGAGCCAAGTACAAACAGCTGACGGAAGACATGCTCCTGGAAGTACCTTGCGCTAATAGAATGAGAGATTGAATCTCTGCTGGAGATGAGTCCACCTCCGGCTGGCTTATTCCCAACCTTTAATGAGAAAGCGAGGAAGGCATCGGGGATGGGTTTCAAAGGGAATGGCTCATTGCACAGACCAGCACGTTTTATTTTATCTTGTTTTTTGCATGCAGGACGGCAGAGTGGACAGAAGCAAAACACAGGAGACTGAATAAATCTGTCGGAGAGCTGAAGAAAGTCCAGACATTTCATATTCATTCAGAAGAGTGTTAATTCTTCCAACATCTATCTAAAACACCCCCCTTCCCCACTTGTGTTTCTCAACTGTTGTTTTTAATATGGCGGCTGAAGGGGCCAGTCATTAGAAGTGTCCCGACACAATCATCTTGGAAATTACTGCAATTATCACTACTGCTGCAGCTGATTTGGATCACTTCTATTCTCTTACTCAAATATTCCTCTCTCCAACTGGGATGAGAATCACACTCTGCATTTCTTGGAAATTACACCATCCTGTTGGACCAGGCATGGGCCAACTTTGGCCCTCCAGGTGTTTTGGACTTCAACTCCCATAATTTCTAACAGCCTCAGGCCC